GCGGCGAGGTCGGAGGGATCGTTGACGTGACCCAAAGTATTGCTGTTGAGGGCTGCATACCGAAACGAAAGGAGGCCGGTGAGCTCCCGAATGAAGTAAACTGTAAGGGAACGGCCCTACTTTAGGACTTAGATAGCTCGAGTCAGAACTTCCTTCGGAAGCTCTTACTCTCCTTGTGAACAATCGCATTATCCTTTAATATTTTTCTGACCCACCGAGACATTTACACTATGGGAAATTTGCACTTGTCTATTTCGATATGGACACCGAATATACTTGCAACAGAGCTCATAGGTATGGGGACAGGACGCGTTGGTTTCGTGTGATTGGATTCAACGCTTCGACTTAATCCGGAACTTTCCACATACCAATGCTTCCGCCTCAACTAAATACAGTCGTTTTATTCTACAAGGACATCGTTTTACTGAGAGAGTGAGCCTCGTGCCATCCGGGAAGGCTCTATGAACTTCTTGCCTCCACTCAGTTTGATCCTCTGGGTTGCCATTCGTCAGTAAGCTGACCCGTAATCTGCTTGCCCACATTTTGACGGAGCTGGCCCTGGTAGTTGCCAGTAGGATCATACTTGCACACGACATAGAACCCCTTGGCCTTGCCTTGGCCGCCGCCGCACTTCTTCCACCCACAGCCCACGGATCTGCAATTCCTCCACACTACCTGTGTGAAGTGGCCGGTGTGCACCGAGAAACTGGCCGCGTTCCAGTCGTACTTCTTCCGCTCAGATCCCCACATGTTGACGAAAGCACCCCAGCTGGTGAAGCCGGAGCTGCTGGCGAGGTTCTCCCCAACACTCTGCTGATGGTTGTTAGTATATCATATTGTGTAGCTGCGAGGGCATTGATGGGAGGGAATATGTGACGGGGCGGATGGATTACGTCGTGAAACCAGTTGCAAGTGTTAGCCCAGCCTTGTGCTTCCTGCGCAAGATCACCCCTCGAAGTCAGTGGATCAGCACCATGTTGTCCGCGAAAGAAGTTGTGTGCAACAATCATTTCACCGCCAAAGATTCCGCTTCGTCGCTCCTCAATCTCTGCGCAGCACGCAATGGTCGCGCTGGCGACAGAGAGGAAGCTAAAGCAGTTGAACGGGCGCATTGGATACGCTGCTGGGAATCACTCGATCTTATGGCCACGCAGTCTGAGCAAACAAGACTCAAAAAACGACGACGCAGACCCAACGTATTGTATAATACTCACATACTTAAATACATACTACAATATCAACGCTGCATTTTATAATAAATATAGTTATTCCACTTATTTTGGAATCAACACTGAAACGGTCAGGTGCTGGAGGTAACGCATCTCGACCCGCACGTTCTCACAGACGGCTTGGTGATTCCAATTTGGTACGTCGCCCAAGATTTCTCACATGCGGCTATGTATTAGTACGAGGATGAAGGTGGTTCTTGCCTGTTCCTTAGAGCCTAGATAAATTCATATTTTACAGTACAGTATTTATTGTAAATAAAACCGTAGCGAGGCGAGAGAACAGATTGTGAAAGCAAAAGCTGGATAACAAGGACTCATGGGCTTTAATGATACAAAAGCTAAACTTCAGACTGTACACATGCTATGGGTTTATAGTCGCCCTTTTTGGAGTTTCTCCACCGGGCGCAATAAAAGTGAAGTGAAGTGAAGTGAAGTGAAGTGAATAAATACATATTTAAATACATATTTAAATACAGCAAAAAACATTTCGTTACTAATAATTAAGAAAGAAAATATTTAGATGACGTCTTCACCGCAGCACAGTACTGCGAGATTGTTGACCTGTGTGAGTTGGTTAAATTAGGCACATCTCATAATTACGCCATACGTACAAGTAACGCCGAAGGGCTCACGCCGCTCCACGGTTGTCCACCTCGTTGCAATACGCAGTCGCAACAACAGGTGACAGTGCAGTCCAATTAACTACAGATCAGCATAACATTGCGGACCATGCAACCAGTAAGTATGTAACTAACGATTTCAGCTTTTGCGAAAATACTTAAATACTGTAAATATTTACACTGTAATGAGAACCAACGGCTTTAAAATTCTCGTGTAGATGCAATAAGTCCCCTGGACGCGCACTACAAAACATATTCTCTGTCAACGCATACCCTGTCCCGTCCATAATTGCAGTCGTTAAATACAAGTCTGGCACAACTCCTTGACAATCGCATCCCAGCTAGACGTAATTCATGTCGGCGATACCAGCAGCAATTCCGTATCGCCTAATGCTTCTGCCGGGAGATCCAAGAGATTTCCTATTCCGAAAGTTCTTGACGTCTCAAAAATAAGGCTTGAAGGAGAAGAAACTAGGTCTGTGAAAGTCTTCGACACTTGTGACATGGTTCGAGACAAAATAAGGACCTTGTTGAAGGATCGGGGCGTAACGAGGAAGGCGTTTTTGCAAGCCATTGCCGGACAAAGTCGAAGCTTCCAAGGCTGTCAACTAAACAGCTTCCTTGCCAAGACTGGGTCCCTGGCTGGAAACACGAACGGAATATATTACTACTCTTACGTTTTCTTCGAAAAGGTCCGAATAAGAGACGGTGCGTGCAAAAGTGACGATCGAAAAGAGATGGAAAGACGGCATTCCGACGGCATAGACACAACAAAGGTTCTCAACTCTGTGTGGACTCCTCCTGGGAAAACATTCACAATTGACAAGTACGCAGTATTGAGACTGCGCTGTTCGTTTTGTCATTCTTACAGCTTCCATTATGGATGTCTGTGATGCCCTAAGAGCACGGGATGACTACGGCTTGTTACTGCCATTGCTCAATACCGATATGCGTGCATGGGTGAGTTACACTGTGGGTGGATGGACGACATGACGTCTTTCGCTAGCGGCCAATAAATGTTGATTTGCCTGACTCCAAGAACTCCGGAAGTCACGCGAGTCTTTTCGTTTGTGGGGAGATTGCTGCAAATCGGGCGTGGGTACATTTCGGGTCGTTTGACTGTCACGTTATGAGATATTAATATATTGGTAACGAAGTTGAGTCATGATAACCGATGCTATGCTAACCGGCAATTTACACCAAGCTCTGCGACTTCAGTCTACAGAGGCATTATCCGACATTAACACGAGCGCGTTTGCCTTGTCCTCGTCGTCGCCGCTTGAGGTAGTTTGATCTAAGTCCTCTGTTACTTTCCGCTTCAGCTCATTTAATTGACCGAGTGCATACGTGTTAAATATATCTCATTCTTGACATCAATATTAAATGTAGTTACGTGCTAAATGTACAGTATTTACTGTACATCAGAATACGTGCGCACACAACATGACAGCTGCCGCCAACATTCACTAGGTTGACTGGTTAATGCTTACGGTTATCGGTGTGCTTCACGAGTCGTTCTGGGAATTTTGCACAACTGGCGTGCTTTGTATTGATGAAATAATATTGGTTAAGCTCTTTTAAATTGGTAGGTTTAGACCTTTGCATTGGAAAGGGCGGCCTCATGCAACGAACGGTCATGAGAGAGACCAGGGGTTTAGATTGACTTGCTGTTACGATATTTCGGAAGAACAACTTCAATGAAGATGCCAATTGAAGCAATAACGATAGAATTGAATTGAATTGAATTGAATTTGATATCGCCTATCGGCGCCCTGGAGTAGGCATGAGGCGTGCTAGCTAGTCTTCAACAGCGATTACATAACACCACTTGCTAGTAAGCCCCGCAGAACGCGACGACTCCGTCGGTCGCGTCCATGCTCTCACGGTTAGCCCCCTGAGCAGTTCTTCATGTAAATTCCTCCAACTATAGCAGAAGTTCGCCCAACGGCTGTTTAACTGTCAGTATCGATACCCGTCAGCGGGATCACGATGCCTGCTGGGGGCTTCAATCCGCGGACGTATTCCCTCGCAGTCAATTGCGCCTGGTCTTTTCGTGGGGACCGGGGAGAGCCCTAATATCAGTGGCACATGCCTCAACAAAGGGAAAGCTGGTTGTTGAACGAGTAGCGCTCACTACTCGGGCTGGATACTGGTACAGAGCGCGCCAGGCTTGTACAGCCTACTCGGTTTAGTAGCGCTTGTTGATCTTCGTGTAATAGAAGTCCGCAATGCGCAGGTAAACCTTGTAGGATCTACCGAGGAACCGTCCTATCGCCGCTTCAGGGTCGGGTGTCAGCCGAGCCCGGAGATGACGAGGGATTTTCCTGCAGTAGAAGAGATGGGTAGGCGACTTCTGGCGCCCGCAGGGGCACTCCTGTCGGATAAAACTGCCTCTGTTGATAAGAACACGCAAACTTGGTGTAATTTCCATCTGTCATAATGTCGGTTATCATGACTTTAGTTAGCCGAAAAACGGATTCGGACGAAAGGAAGTTTTTAATATTAAATAGAGAGCTGCAGACGGAGTCTGCAGCACGGGGAACAACAAGAATATTGATTTTATAAACAAGCTTAGTTAACATAAGTCTCATAACGTGACAGTTATGAGCCCGGACCCGCGCTCTAGGTTTTCAACGAGAACAACCACGCTGCGAAAAACTGCACATCAATAGAACACACAACGACAGTGTTAGTGAGACAATTAGCTAAGTTACAATAATCCCTCCTTAATTCGTGCAAAATGCAGTTATCCTCACGGGGATCGACAATTGGGACGACTGGCAGAAGTTTGTTGCAAGCTTAATTGATATAGACATCTGGGAAGCGATTAAACCTGCAAACAGAACTCAAGTACTTCTACGGAAGCCAAGGAGACCACAAGTATCTGATTTTAACGCAAACGCTGAGACCGAAGCCAATCTTTCGGCATCTCAAGTTAATGCTTTCAGACTAGCCCGTGACAATTGGAAAGATAGCTCCAAAGAGTATGAGCTGCAGAAATCCAATCTGATCAAGGCTAAAAGTGTTCATCAGCTATGTGGATGAGAGATTAGGTCGCTATCTTGACCAAGACCATGATCTCCCCCGCTGGATCGATAGTCTATCTGTAGCAGTCAATGCCGAACAGACTAAGGCAACAGACGCACTTGTGATGGAATATCAGCAGATCATCAAGTCATTCAGGTGCACCGACTCAGCAACCTTTGCAGACTGGATCTGGAAATGGGAGAACTTCCTGCTGAAGGCTGCACGGCATCGAATGCTTGAAGTAGCAGGCGGTCGTTGGCTATTCGACATCGCCCGCCTTATGGCCAAACATAACGGCAACTTCACTGATAACTGCAGACAAGCCGCAGAATCGCTTGTTCTAAAGACAAAAGATTACAATAATGCTGTTGAGCAAGGAGTACAGCAGTTATTGCAACTCAACGATCTTAGCGATCATGCCAGACTACGAGAGGCAGCAATAGCAATTCAAGGGGCCCTGATCCATACCCCGCCCAACGCTACGGATGCGAGCAAGGAATGGTCAATTGGAAGCGTAGCTGTCAAGTTACGGACCTGGGCCAGCTCAGCACTTCCAGCCCAACCAGAGAGACCCTCCGCCAGACGGGGAACGGCGTTCCAAGCTGATACCAGAAAGAGTAATCAGGGTGGAAGAGCAAGCCAATCCAAATCAGATCGTAAAAGAGGGCGCTCAGATAACCAGGAGGATAGCAACAAGAGACAAGAACTGAGCTGTGAAGCTTGTGGCCAGCGACGACATGATTTTAGTTCCTGTTGGTCAGCTATCCCGGAACTTCGTCCTGAAGGAGTACCTGCGAATCACCGCCTAGAAGGTCTGGTGAGGAAAGTGTTGGCTGCCGATCCGGAACTAAAAGCCAAAGTAGCTGAACTTCGGAAAGCAGCACAGAAAGACCAACAACAGCAGGAACAGGAAAAGAAAGAAGTTTCATTCCAGTGACAACCAGCCGAGTCAAGCTTGGAACGACGAATCGTTGGTCAAGCATTAGCACAAGGGCCGCGTTTCCGATATGTGTCGGGACCTGTTTGCAAGCGGACCAGTATCCCTTGCGATCGTCAACCATTCTTGATTCTGGAGCTACGCTGGATAATTTCAACGAACTTTCTAGGTTCAAATCGATAAGAAAACCAAAACCAGAAGCCGGACAGGAACACTACCTGATTGCTGGAGACTCAGAGGTTAAAATCGAGGGTTATGGTCGAGTCGATTTACCCGTCACAAGGCCTGATGGATCAATTGGCATCCTACGAATCAAGGATGCTGCATATTGTCCTACATTTGCTGTCAACGCTGTATCATTCCAGTGTCTGTATGATCGAGGCATACGTTGGGATACATTCTCTACCCCAACACGGCTAATCCATAAATCTGGAACGCCGATATGTATGGTTGAAAGGTACTACAAACAATGGATTCTTCAGTATCGGCAAACAACAGATGCAAGCCTAAAAGCGGCAGCTGCCTATGTAGCCAGACGGAAAAGACGGACCACTCGAGACCAAAGAGCAGATGCTATTGCCGACGGAACGTTGTGGCACAACCGACTGGGTCATCCTAGCCCAAAGACCATTGAGCAGTTAGGAAAGAAATATCTTGGAGTCAAACTGCGGGGACCGAAGACTGTGGAATGTGACCACTGCGGCCGAGGCAAGATGCACCGACAGATATCCCGGAGGCGACCTGCAAGGCCAGACAAACCATTGGAAGAAATCTGGGTTGATTGGACCGATCTTACGGAAGACTACCAAGGATTCGTCCGAGTTATGTTTATCACGGATGCATATTCGGGTCTAGTTTTCCCTTACTTTCTGAAGAGCCATGGTCTAGGCAAAGAAAACCGAAGAATCCTGAGAAAACCGAAGAATTCTGCGAGACTTCTTCCACTGGATAGAAGTTCAGTACAGCTTCAAGCCAAAAGTCATACGATCAGACGGCGAGCTATTCAGCAAGGAAGTACGGAAAGAACTGAAACTTCGATCCATTGAAGCAAAGAGGTCAGCCCCGAATACTCAGGCCCAGAATGGAGGCGCCGAGAGATCAGGGGGTGCTATCATGGAGAAAGCCCGTACGATGCGAATAGCAGCAAAACTACCACATAACCTATGGAAGGATATTGTGGAGGCTGCATGTTA